TACAGAGCTATAGAATAAGTTGGAAGGGTCCTTAAAGATCACAGAGCCACAGAATGGCTGGGTTGGAAAGGTCCTTAAAGGGCCCAGAATCACAGAATGGTTCAGTTGGAAAGGTCCTTAAGGATCACAGAGCTACAGAATAGGTTGGAAGGGTCCTTAAAGATCACAAAACCACTGAACCCTAGAATGGTAGGGTTGGATGGGACCCGAAAGCCCAATCAGCACCAACCCCTGCCGTGGGCTGGTTGCCCCCCGCTGGCTCAGGTTGCCCAAGGCCCCATTCAGCTCAGCTCCCTCAATGTTCTTTGCAGGAGAAGAGCTCCAGCTTCCCAAGCATCGACCATTTTGGAGGTGGGATGGTCCTCCCTTGGGATGGTGCCTTCGTAGGTCACCCATCCTCACACCATCTGGATCAGCCCAAATCAAGTCTGGACACGAGCACTACTTCAGTGCCAGTGCTGGGCCCACAAACCCAAACTTCTCAGGGCTGAAGTTCCTAAAAATTCAACAGAGCAAAGATTCCTCAACTTGCCAACTCTGACCCTAATGCTTCTTAAAAAAATACATCACATTTTGCTTTTCCAACTGAAATCTGCAGAGGAAAGATGATTAATGGGTTATTAATAGTAATAATCTCTCGGCAATACTGGAAGTGTGAAATACGGAGCGGAACGCTTTGAACTTTCAGCTATTTGCCAAAAGCCTGCCAACAAGCAGCGACCTGCAGCAAAATGCATCAAAATTCACCACCGATCGGAACGGAAGCGAGAAACTTCCCCGATCTTCCCCAAGATCTCTGCAAAAAGGGAATTCTCCAAACCTCAGCTGCCCTCCTTTCCATGCCCAGAGCTGGAAAAAGAGCACATCAAACAGATAACGCTGAGCTCCCGGCTGGCAGAACCTATAAAAACCTTGGCACGTGTTTTATTTTGTTCCCAGTTCCCCATGGCTGCGTGCCCGGCCCCGTGCAACGTGGGGACGGCATGTCTGAGCTTCGCTGCTCACCCTATTTGCACCAACATGGGAGATGATAAGAAGTTCTTTGTTTCTTTAGGGAGGAAATTTAAGAAAAGGTTCTTCGGGGGGCACAAAAAAAAAAAAATCTGATTTTCCAAACCAGAGAATTCCAAACCTGAATGGGAGTGTTGGAAAAAACAAATGAGGTGGAGCACTGGCAAACCCCAAAGTTGTTGGGGCTGAGTTAGACGTGTTGGAAAGGAAAGGGTGCCACAACTCCACAGCAGTGACAGTGGGACAGATTTTAGGGAGGAGTGGGAGCCTCCAGAATGTCTTCAGTACTTCCTAAGTAATGTGCAAGGAATACACAAGGCAGTGTGCAATCAATTTGCACGGGAATCCTCCAGAACATGCAAGGAATCCTCAAGGAATGCTCAGGAAACGGACGAGGCAGGCGCAAAATGCAGGAAATGCGCAAGGAAAGCGCAAGGATGTGCAGGGATACGCAAGGAGCCTGCAAGGAATAGTGAACGTGCAAGAAATATGGAAGGATATGCCATAAATGTGCAAGGACACACGGGAATACATAGGAACATCAGCACTGTGCAACAACACTATGCAAAAAATACAAAGACGTACAAGGACGTGCAAGAATAAGCAAGGAGTACAGAAGGAATAAGCAGAAGTATTCCTTACTCAAGAAATACACAAGGAATTTGCAAGGAATAAGGAAGCAGAATGCACGGATACTCAAGGAATATGCAAGGAACATAGAAAGAATATGCAAGGAATACGTAAGGAATAGAGAAGGAATACCATCAGGAACGTGTAAGAAATGCTCAGGGAGTAAGCAGGGACTGCAACAGGAACACACACGAAATATGCATGGAACGTCCAAGAGATGTGCAAGGAATGCACACAAAATGTGTGTGAAATACGCAAGAAATAAGAAAGGTGTAAGAAACACACAAGGAATCCACAAGGGATATGCAAAGATGTACAGGAATATACACAAGGATATACGCAAGGTTATGCAAGAAACAGGCAAGAAATACAAAGAAATACTCGAGGACATGCAAGAATAAGCTAGGAGTACGCATGGAATATGCAAGAAACAAAGACATGCTCAAGGAATACACAAGGAATATGCAAGGAATACTCAGGAAAAACACAGGGAATTTGCAAGGAATAAGGAAGCAAAATGCAAGGATACTCGATGAATATGCCAGGAATACAGAAGGAATACAGGAACACAGCAAGAAACAGGCAACGAATAAGCAGGGAATAAAAACAGCACACGCATGGCTTTGGCAAGAGATACGCACGGAATGCAGGCAAAATATGCAAGGAAAACAGAAGAAATGCTGCTGAAAGATGTAAGAAATGTGGAAGGAATCTGCAAGAAGTATGCAGGAAATGTACCCAACACGTGCAAGGAGCACACAGGGAGCCCACCGGCGATACGCAGGGAATCCCAGCAGCGGAGCCGATCCCTGCGGTGCAGCTGCTGCCCCAGCCCTGCAGCGAGGACAAATGCAGGCAGCTGCCCCATGGGTGATGTGCAAAGCAAAGGAAGGGAAAGGCCTGTGCTGGAACACAGCCATACGTTGGGCTGTTGTCAATCACTGCCACGGCACAGCAGGTGTGAAACGTGCTGCTCAGCCTGCCTGTGGGATGGGAAAGGAGCTCGGCAAGTGGCCTCCCCCTGCTTTTCCCCCAGATCCTCCCTTTAGCAGTGACGTGGGTGCCAAGCTGCAGCGGCCCTGAGCCCCCAGGTGGGGTTGGAGGGCACTGAAGCCAATGGCAACTGGGCAAAGCCAGTGGCAACTGCGCAAAGCAAACGGCGGCGTGTGCTCTTGTTCATTACAGGAATCAGATTTGTTGCTTCTGATGGGGGAAAATAGGGTCGTGCGTAACGCATGTAGGGTCAGCAGATCGATTCAGAGCAGGGTTATCTCATTTGGAAGAGAAATGGTATTAAAAAAGAAGCGTGGGTGCTTCCAGTGGGTGAGACGACAAAGTGAATTGCTTGCGAGCAGCACTGGGCAAAACTCAAGGCGGGGGGGGGGGGGGAATTGCGTTCTCCCTCCCCAGATTTAGGGGCAAATCAGCTGACTGTGAGGAGAAATGGACCGATTGCACGACAGGCCTGAATAACCTGGGAAGTGAAAAGGATGGCAGAGAGAAAAGCGACCGGGTTTTTTAGCAATTTGGGAATACAAGCGGGACGCTGGAGAGAGAAACTGGAGTGGCAACGGAGAAAGCGGAGTGGCAACGAAGAAAAGAAGGACGCCAATAAAGAAACAGGGGATGGCGATGAATGTTTCACCACAAGGAGCACTTTTCCACCCAAAATCGCATCGACACGATGAACCAAGGTGCTTCCCTGCTTCGCCAGCCCCCAATGGAACTCCAAGAAGGAAAGAGGCACGGATTGCCAAACCCCGCAGCAAAGCACGTAACCCAACCGCAGCCACCCGGCAGCTGCGCAGCATTTGCTGCCCCAGCCCCTGTGCTGGCAGTGGCAGCGGATTCCTGGGGCTCTGTGCTCACAGCCGCGGGCAGCAGCGCGACGTGATGAGGGAGGGGGACATCGGGGACGTCCCCACGCCGCCCAAAATCAGATGGCTGAAGGTGTGGGACAGAAATGCAAACCTCTGTGCGCCCTGTGTGCAAGTTATCGTGGCTGGGGTTAAGGCCGTGCAGATAAGGAGGAAGAAATTTCTTGGAAGATCAGGTGTACCCTACAAGAAATACACAGATAAATAAGTAAAGACCCAAAGAGCAGCACCAGTGCCCTCCTGCAGCTTGCAGTTCTTTGTCTAGATGGGAGATGGGAAGCTTCTGTCATCAATCCTACGCCACGTTTCCCTTTTTGATGATATTCTAGGCTGGAAATGATTTCTAGGGGCCATCTGGGCCTCTCCCCCACCCTCCCTTGGGTACAGGGGGCCTCAAAATGAGCCTTTTTGGTCAAATCCTGCCATTTCCACAAGTGGAATCCCAAAATCTGGGATCCAGCTCCATGGACAAGCATTAAACGTGGAGGTTGGTGGCCCTGCATGTGGCAGGGGGGTTGGAGATTCATGATCCTTGAGGTCCCTTCCAACCCTGGCCATTCTGTGATTCTACGACAAACACTATTCCTCAGCACTGGAAAAATGGAGACACTGCTCCTTCCTCCTGAAGAACGTGGCTCTGCCCTCATTATCACCCAACCAGGGAGGTGAGGACGGCACTCAGACCCCCTCCCTGGGGCTGGAGGAGCACAGCTCTCGCTAAACACTTATTAAACACTTATTAAACACCATTAGCACGATGCCCTCCGTGAAGACGTGGCCCCATCTGCTCCCAGTGCCAGTGACTCGGTGCTGGCATCGCGTTCCTGGAATTTCGGCTGCAGCACCATCTGTTGCACCACTGCAGGAAGCCTGGGGTGGAGAAAATAAAGAACAACAGCAGCACTGACCCTTGGAATGTTCCTCTGGTGGAAGGCACCAACAGTTCCAACGTGTTTCACGATCACCATTCTGTGCCTCTGCCTTCTTCCCCTTTTTACCAACCACTCTGTGGCCAAAAATGCCATTTGGGGCATTTCCAGCCCAGGTGGGTTGGGTTTGTTTTACCCTTCTTTCTCCAGTGCTGAAGCTGGAAGCTGGTAGGGCAATTGAAGAAGGCTTGCCATGGGCACTGACTAACAGTGACAGGACACGAGGGAATGGCTCGAAGCTCAGCAATTCCAACTCAGTCCATTTGGGGTTCTATGAAGGGCCTTCCCAACTCAACCATTCCCTGGCACTGTAATCTTTAAGGACCTTTCCAACCTAACCCAACCCATTACATGGCTCCATTAAAGACCCTTCTAACCCAACCATTTCACAATTCCGTTAAGGACCTTTGCAACCCAACCATTCCCTGGCTCTATGATCTTTAAGGACCTTTGCAACCCAACCATTCCCTGGCTCTATGATCTTTAAGGACCTCTCCAACCCAAGGACCTCTCCAGCCCAACCCATTACATGGCTCTATGATCTTTAAGGACCTCTCCAGCCCAACCATTCCCTGGCTCTATGATCTTTAAGGACCTCTCCAGCCCAACCATTCCCTGGCTCTATGATCTTTAAGGACCTCTCCAACCCAACCATTCCCTGGCTCTATGATCTTTAAGGACCTCTCCAGCCCAACCATTCCCTGGTTCTATGATCTTTAAGGACCTCTCCAGCCCAACCATTCCCTGGCTCTATGACCTTTAAGGACCTTTCCAGCCCAACCATTCCCTGGTTCTATGATCTTTAAGGACCTCTCCAACCCAACCATTCCCTGGCTCTATGATCTTTAAGGACCTCTCCAACCCAACCATTCCCTGGCTCTATGATCTTTAAGGACCTCTCCAGCCCAACCATTCCCTGGTTCTATGATCTTTAAGGACCTCTCCAACCCAACCATTCCCTGGCTCTATGATCTTTAAGGACCTCTCCAGCCCAACCATTCCCTGGCTCTATGATCTTTAAGGACCTCTCCAACCCAACCATTCCCTGGCTCTATGATCTTTAAGGACCTTTCCAGCCCAACCATTCCCTGGCTCTATGATCTTTAAGGACCTTTCCAGCCCAACCATTCCCTGGCTCTATGATCTTTAAGGACCTCTCCAGCCCAACCATTCCCTGGTTCTATGATCTTTAAGGATCTTTCCAACCCAACCATTCCCTGGCTCTATGATCTTTAAGGACCTCTCCAACCCAACCATTCCCTGGCTCTATGATCTTTAAGGACCTCTCCAACCCAACCATTCCCTGGCTCTATGATCTTTAAGGACCTCTCCAACCCAACCATTCCCTGGCTCTATGATCTTTAAGGACCTCTCCAGCCCAACCATTCCCTGGCTCTATGATCTTTAAGGACCTCTCCAACCCAACCATTCCCTGGCTCTATGATCTTTAAGGACCTCTCCAGCCCAACCATTCCCTGGTTCTGTGATCTTTAAGGACCTCTCCAGTCCAACCATTCCCTGGTTCTGTGATCTTTAAGGACCTCTCCAACCCAACCATTCATTCCCTGGCTCTACGACCTTTAAGGACCTTTCCCACGCAACCATTCCTTTGCTTTATAATCTCTAAGGACGTTTCCAAACCAACCGTGGTTCTATTATGCTTCTGGAAGAACACATGAATGTCAGAGCAGCCATTTCTGGATGTTCTGCATTCCTCCTCTTTGGAATGGTGTCCCAAATGTTTTGGAGGACTTGCAGCATTATTTCCCACTGGGAAATAGCACCGAAACCTGCCATTACATCCCACTCCCCACGCTTTGAAGGCGGGCTGAGCGCTGCCACACCGCTGTGCCATTCGTCAGCAGCCACACACCGGCTCCAAAATGACATGCTGCCAGCAGCTCACTTTTGTTCCTCCTCCTCCTGCAAATTCCAGGAGAGCTCGAGGAAACAGAAGTGCGATGCTTGCTAATTTGGTGCTAAAACAAAAGCAAAAACCACACGGTTTTTTTCATCCAGCTCGAGCCATTCGGGGCCTTGAGCACGCTGCCAGTTCTGCTCGCTGCTGGGCACCTTCAGAAGTCACAGAAATGCCTTCCCCACACCGCACCGCAGCACGGCAGCCCAGAAAATGAGAGCTGCAGCCACAAGTGGTCCCTTGCTATTGCGCTTCTCATGCTTGCTCCTGCTCCTGGTTTGCTCCCCACAGGCGGCTGACAGCTCTGCAGAATGCTGCTTTCCTCCAGATGGGATCTGCAGCGCTCCCGATCTGAAAAATGGGGTGAAAAACCCAACAAAAACGAGGTGAAAAACCCAACAAAAACGGGGTGAAAAACCCAACAAAAATGGGGAGAAAAACCCAACAAAAACGAGGTGAAAAACCCAACAAAAATGGGGTGAAAAACCCAACAAAAATGGGGAGAAAAACCCAACAAAAATGGGGTGAAAAACCCAACAAAAACGGGGTGAAAAACCCAACAAAAACGTGCTGCAGCTTTCCAGATGGATGTTTTCTGAAATATAAAACCTCTGGTGGGCGCAGATTTGTCACAGAGACGTGACAGATAAGCGGGGCCCCCGTGGCAGAGCTCGTTATCGCGCAAGCGATTGGCGTTAACAATGCTTAATTACTTTAATCCACTTAACAACGTGCTTTACTCAAACGAGCCTGACGGATTGCTCCCATAGCGCTCCCGGAGCTGAACGACGCTGGGACTGCTGGCGTTTAACCTCCACCACTGGGTTTGTAGAATCACAGAACCATTAGGGTTGGAAGATAGAATCATAGAATCATAGAATCACCAAGGTTGGAAAAGACCTCAAAGATCACCCAGTCCAACCGTTCACCTGTTCCCAACAGCTCCCACTGAACCACGTCCCTCAACACAACATCCAGCCTTTCCTTGAACACCCCCAGGCTCGGTGACTCCACCACCTCCCTGGGCATCCATTGCAGTGCCTGACCACCCTTTCTGAACAGTAATACTTCCTCATGTCCAGCCTGAATCTCCCCTGCCGTAGCTTGAAACCATTCCCCCTGGTCCTATCACTGATGACACGAGAGCAGAGGCCGCCCCCCAGCTCACTACAACCTCCCTTCAGGCAGCCATAGAGAGCAATGAGGTCTCCCCTGAGCCTCCTCTTCTCCAGGCTGAACATTCCCAGCTCCTTCAGCCTCTCCTCATCAGCCCTGTGCTCCAGACCCCTCACCAGCTTTGTTGCCCTCCTTTGAACACGTTCCAGGGCCTCAATATCTTTCTCGCAGTGAGGGGCCCAAAACTGGACACAGTAAAGATCATCAAGTCCACCCCTCAACCCATCCCACCATGCCCACACCATGGGTCTTCTGCACATGAAGTCCCACTATGAGTGGTTTTGTGGGGTTTTTTTTTTGCCATATTTAGAGTGGGAACGCAAAGCGGAGCGCTATGCACGAAGGCTCACACTGCCCCAACCTCTGGGACAAACCTCAGCAGGCACAAGCGACTGCAGAGCAGCGTTTTTAAGGAAATTCAGTTCAGGTGAGACATCCTGAGGAAGAAAAAAGTCTCTGAGAGGCAGAATGCCCTTCAAGGAGTCATCAGGGGCTTCTTTTTAGATCGTTCCTCTCTCTGGTTGGACGCCACGTGTGTAAGAGGACAGAGACAGAGCAGTAATTCCTGGAAGATGACAGCAGGGAAGTGAAGTGGGTGGATGGAAGTGGATAATGTGGTTCTCATTCCTATGAATTCAATGAAACCATTGAAGTCCATTACCACTAACACTGAGTGCATCGGAACACACCTATTAAAGGATCTCAGCGTGTCTTGAGGCGGAACCAACACCTCTTCCCATTCCCACGGAGCTTTCCTGACACAAATAACTCCGTCTGACACCGCTTCCTACAGAGCTAGAGGTTCTCAGGGCACTTCAGCTCACCTATGATGCCAGATCCGTCCCCGGAGCCTTCAGCAGTCAGTACATCCCAAGGGAAAGGGCAGACCCTGAGGGAAAGGGGAGACCCCAAAGAGAATGGCAACACCAAGCGTTGGGTTCTCCCAACTTTGCTGCATCGCTTGCCAGCCCTCCCAGGAAGGGCGATGGAACACAGGAACACAACGAGGTTGTGGAGTCTTCTCCTTTGAGATCTCCAAACCCTTCGGGACATGGTCTTGGTGGCCCTGCTGGAGCAGGGATGGACCCAATGATCCCTTCCAACCTCAGCCATTCCGTGATCCCGTTCCTCATGTCCTGAAATGGAACCACAGTGCCACACATCGCCGTCCGCAGTGCCAGAGCAAAGTCAGCCTCGTTACCACCAACACTGCAGGCAAAGAAACTGGGTTAAACCACATCTCAGAGGAACGCAGCGAGCAGCTGCCAGAGAAATTAATATTTTAAACAGTGGTCTCGTGTGTGACAACCGAAAAGCTGAAATTTATCTTCATCCACAAGAGTGAAATCAGCACGATGCACGACGCCATCCTCAAAACTGAAATACTTTAGAATTCCCTAATGGAAAGCTTGAAAAAAATCCAACCTCCAGCCCCAAAATCAGAGTTTCTCGCTGAAGGATTCTAGCCTCAACATTCAGATCCACCACTCGCCTTCGGTCTGCAGCGTTATGCCAGTATCAGAAAGGCAATCCCTACACAAGGGATATGCCAAGGCCAATGCAACCGATGCTCCACCAGCCCCCGTTAACGGACCCCACACACCCTACATCCTTACCAACAGCCCTCTTCCAGCTGGCACATTGGATTACCCCACACGCTGGGTTGCTGGGACAGCCACCCAGATCCTCCTGCTTGACTTTTTAATACACTACCACAACACCAAGTGTTATCTGGACCTCCTGATGCCTTTCGTTTCCAAGATGACGTATCCCCACACTTATTTGCTATGATTTTACCTGAATTTTTCAGTAAGCTTTACCTTCTGCTTCCATTTCCCAGACAACAGTGGCCTGAACTACACTAGAAGGAAGCGCTCACCAGGTACATCCTCAGCATCAATTAACAGCCCACGCCATGGTCAGGAATGAGTCCCAGACACGTTGGAAGCCACGAAGCTCACTGCTCATCAGCAGTTTCTCCCTCTGCCGCGCTCATCTCCTGACTCAGTATCTAATTGATAACTCTGCCCCTATCATTTTCCCCTTCTTCATCACCGCTGTAATTACCACGGCTATTTCCCTTCCCCGTCAGGCTGCCTTTAATTGCTGCAGCCTTCTCGTTCAAAGCTTTAAGAGCGTTTCCCAGCTGTTCCAGTGAAAACCCAGCCCACCCATCGCTCCTTGGGTTTGGCCAACGAACACCACCGACCCGTGACCACCTGCACCTCCGTGGCCCCACCAGTCCCCAAGGATAGGAAGCAGACGGCGCTCCCAGGGACCAGGGCCGTAATTAATCCTCCACGCAGATATCCCAAGGATAGCGAGGCGCCTCTGGCACACCCTCAGAGACGAGGATGGGGTGGGTGGCTTCCTTGGCACCAGTTCCCACGTCAGGAGCAGATCAGCACGCGCTCCTTCAGGGCATTTCCCCGCCAAGTTGGGACCACCATTCGCTCCCAGCTAGATTTGATATTGCAATGACTGCCCCGATGGAATGGCTTGGAACCCACACGGCAAATCCAGCTGCACCCAACGTCCCAAGGGATTTTCATTACATTATCATTACACTTCACCACCCCAAGGCTCCCACTGGGGAACAGGGGCGGAGGCAGCGCTTTTCTGGCTCCCAGCCTCACCCATGGGACTAATTAATATCCCTTAAGCACCACACCCCTAATTACAATAGACTAAGCGAGCACAAAAGCTCTTTGGTCTCAAAAGTTCGACTCGTATATGTATCTTATTCCCCCTATGAATTTACATCCTGCGGCATGCCCATTAAACCCATGTTTTTAATTACAGCATCAAAAAACTTCTTCATTAGAGTACAAACAAAAAAAAAAAAAAAGGTAAAACGTTGGCTCTGAAATCAATGGGCGGGCGGGGTGGGATGGGCTGGCGTTGGACTGATTTTGGAGGGCTCTTCCAACCTCAGTAACTCTATGATCATAGGAGTGGGCATGGTGGGGATGGGCTGGCATTGGACTCGATGATTTTGGAGGGCTCTTCCAACCTCAATAACTCTATGATCATAGGAGTAGGCATGGGCAGGCGTTGGACTCGATGATTTTGGAAGGATCTTCCAATCTCAGTGATTCTGTGATCCCAGGAATGGGCATGGTGGGGCTGGTCTGGCATTGGACTCGACGATTTTGGAGGGCTCTTCCAACCTCAGTACTCTATGATCATAGGAGTGGGCATGGTGGGGATGGACTGGCATTGGACTCAATGATTTTGGAGGGCTCTTCCAACCTCAGTAACTCTATGATCATAGGAGTGGGCATGGTGGGGATGGACTGGCATTGGACTCAATGATTTTGGAGGGCTCTTCCAACCTCCATAATTCTATGATCATA